GATGAGATCTTGGAACAGCTAAACCGTTTGGATTTTTCTCCTTTCGGAAAAACAGTTACTCGGACAAGATTTTCTACACATTTGAACTGGACGCACAAGTCTATGGACATACCATCTTATTTCATCTTTGCTTATTTAGTTTGTTTTAGGAGCAACTTCTCTTGGGGCTGTTGCCATCTGCTCCTGCTAGCTCATGATTACACATCTCTTGCTGTCAAAATAATAATATATAATATTGTCGCTCTTGGCAGAAACTAAATTCATTGTCATACCATCAATTATGGTCATGGCACACATCTTACTCTAGTCTTACTAAATGTTTAATTTTTCTGAGTCACTAACTTATGCAGAATGGAGAAAATAATAATCTAGTGTGCAACTTATGCGTTGCCAATGACCCTTTGGTCTTGTGCCATTTAGTCTTCACCTTGTTGAAGGAGGTCCTGAGTTCAAATCTCATGGAATGAAAGTTTCTTTTGTTGTTTAGTTATAAAATAATAAAATAAAATCAAGTGGGTTTGTATGTGTTGTGGGTAACAATTGCGTGCAATAAAGGACTTCTGTTATCTTATCTCTTGCAAACTGACCTCAAATTCGCCCTCGAACAAACAAGCAATGGCTGTTGTCTGATTCATTCTGTTCATATTTCTGTATCCTGCAGCATGGAGGCGGGCGGGTCTTTAAAACCCTCCAGTGGTTAGTCCACAGTTTGGACAAAGAGAAGGTTTCTTTGGGAGCCATTGTTACTGAGGATGAAATTAGGACATCGCGTCACTTGAGGCAATGCGCCTCTGAGCAAAAGATACCAGTGATGGTCAGTAATTCTTAATTTCTTTTAGAAGTGTTTTGGATTCCTGTTTATGGCTTATACAAAAGCTCAAAGAGTACCAAACATTTCGAAAAAGCAATTGTGACAAATCTCTTGCTTTCACAATGATGTGCTCACATGCTCTTTTCCCATAATAATAAACTTCAACCCTTTCTGATTTGAGTAAGCATCTGTTGCAGCCAGCTAGCTGGATCATAAAAAGCTTGCATTCAGGAAAGCTCCTTCCATTTCCTGATAAAGGTACTTCCTCTCTTCCTGCAATTAAGATTCCATAGATCCCAGTTTCCACAAAAATGAGTGAAGATGTATAAAATTACCGTTTCTTTAGCAGCATATGTAGTGGATTTGTTGTGTGCATATGTAATATTGTAGGATACAAAATAATGTAGTTTTGTAATTTATAATTCCAATTTCAAATTTTTAAGAGCTTGGTTGTGTCAAGTATAAGTTATGCTACATACATATAAGTTTCCTTGTAGTTGTCAAACATGTAAGAATGAAAATATTATATTTTTTTAAATTACACCCATGCCTTTTGAACTTTTATCTGTGTCTTACTTGGTTGCTTAAGAAAAATACCTTCTAAAGTTGTTTTAAAAAATCACCCTTGTTGCCAATGGGTCTAGCTCAGTGGAAAAAGACATCGATTTGCAAACCAGAGGTCTCAAGTTCGAACCCCCATGACATCTTAAAAACATTTTTAGTTCGAAGAAGAAAACTTCAGGAAAAGTAATCAATTAACATAACCACCATAACTATACTCAATGACTATAATAACTATATTATGATATCACCATAACTATAATAACTATATTACGCTACATCCATATAAGTTTTTCCTTGTAGTTATTTATATAATAACTATAAATATAAAATAGGAAAGTAGCATCTTTATATTAATTGATTCACAAATAATTAAACTTAAAGCAGAGCCATATATGCATGCATATCTTAGAGGCTACCACAGTCATAGCGGGTGTGGCCATGTGAGTCACTGAAAAGGACGGCCAGGAGGATAATGCATATGAATTTAACAAACTGTGATGAAGCATCAAGCATTTTCCCAATCAGGTACATCTGCAGAGACAATCTCAGAATTCGCATCTTACGTTCTTTCAGGTATTCATCAAATGCTTCCTCCACCTGCATTTTAGTTCCTCTTCCGTTTCGATCGATGTGAATTGTTCGAGCCAAGCACCGGGCAAGAACAACTGCATCTTCCAGACAAGCTGAACCTCCTTGTGCAAGAAATGGACCCATTGCATGCATGGCATCTCCTGCTAGGGCCACCGTCCCTTCGCGAAACCGTCTTCGTAATGTGTCCCATGGTGCATGGTATCTCAAGTACTCTGTGAGATGCAAAGAATCCAGCTCGCAATTCTTTGCCATCTCTGTGATGCTTGTAGGGAAGCTCTCCACAGAGTCCAGTGCCAAGTTCCGGACCAGTTTCTGGCTCTTGGAGGCCATTGAATCTGTTCATAATTAACGAGGAAGAAGGATAGAGGGAAAGAAAAATTAATCAAAATTTTCCTGTGTTAAAAGTTCACGTA